CATCTCCACTAGCTTTGTTGTTAGTAATGCTTCCTAAGGCCCACTTGACTTCGCTCTCTAGCTACTACAGAAATCATTACTAATATTTTTAATGCAAATTCTTGCAATTTAGTCACCTGTATTACTTAGCTTTTGACATTAATAACACTTCATTCTCAGTATCATACCTTACACAGAATTAAATAATGCTAAATTCTGCATCTGAGTTGATTGTCACACAAAATAACAATGTAGAAATCTGTTTTTCTTATTCGCTTTATCAATATACTTGCTAACTATTGAAATTAATTTTTTCAGGTTATCTTGCAGTGGAAACATGCAGTCCTAGAAGTAGTTAACCCAAAAGAAAACATAAAATCTAGACTAGCAGCTCAACATTTCTGTAAGTAATTGAATAAAGACAGTTGTTTCTAAGCCAAAACTACTTTAAAAATCAAGGTATATTTTTGCTCACTGAAGCTGTGAGCCAAAGAGGCTGTTCAAGCACAGCTGGTAACGGTTAACTTGAAATGGATTTTTTAACTCCTCCTCTCTCCTTACAGAACAAGGTTCCTCCTTTCCTCAGGCTTAGTTTAAAATAACTAGAAGAATTAAAGCAGTAATTCTTTGAAGATTTGGAAGCCTTCAAAATGTTTTATCTATTATGTTAATGTTCTCTTGATGCTACTGACCAAAACATAACATAAAAATGCAGCTGAGGCCACTTCATAAGAGGGTTGTTTTTTGTTGTTGTTTTTTGTTTGTAGATGGAAAAAGACCCAGAGCACAAGGATCTTCAGAATCAGGAGAGAAGAAAAGAGAAAATTATGAGAACTTGCAATTCTACAAGGAAAGAACAGAAATATCAGATATTGGTTTACTAGAAAGGGACATGGAAATGATTGAAGAATTACGAAAGAGAAAGAGAACTGCAGTTGAGCATGAAGAACAAAGCCTTAAATCAGAGCACTTTAGCTTTTCACAGGCAGAATGGGACTTGCTAAATTCTTACTGAACAAAGTAAACATTTTAAACTAATTGGCTGAAGTTCAGCTTTATCTCCCTGGAAAGAAACTTAGAAAATAAATGGTGCATTCTATTTCTGCAGTTAATGGAGTGGGAAGAAATCATCTTCTAAGTACTGTAAGAGAATGTGAAAAATTTGCTATACTTCTCAGTCATACAGTAAATATTTCAGAGGAGAATACACCACTTTAAGATGTTTAGGTAAAGAAGGTTTCACTGAGAAACTATGCTGGAAATATCAACTATGATCCATTTTTGCCTGTGGTGCTGATTTTTGTTGAGCTTCTTAATTCATGCAAGTCATTCTTGTGTGATGTAATCTTTTTGTATGCTGTATCTGAAGAAACAGGGTGAGACGTGACCATAAGGAATGAAATATAACACAATAAACATAAGGGCTGAAAAGTGTTATTGTTGAACTCTTTATGTAAATTGTGATGTTCAAAAATATATATTTGTACTTTTTGAAAAAAGAATACAATGGTGCTTGTGCAGTTTCCTTTAATAGGCTCACCAATTAAGTTTGACCTTTGTGCGTTATAAACAAACTGAGGATTTACCAATATAAATATTTGGCTACTTGGAATTCGTTTAAGCATATAATACACTCCATGCATAGAAAATTATACTTGCTCTCCTTTGAAATACCTTGTTCAGGAAAACAAGATATGAATTTACTAATGGATGGATTATAACTGCTAATATGAAACAGATTATTAAAGTAGTTGCTTTTGGTAAGGGTCTTCAATATTTAAGGATGGTGGGGGGTTTGCTAAACTCAACTCAGCAGCTTTTTCTCTGTATATAGCTGTGTGATTTCCCCCCCCCTTTCTCTAGTTGCTAGTAATCCCTCCTGGTATCCCCTCCCCTCATCCTTTCTCTCTAACCTTTAGTTCTCCCAAACATCCACTCTGGTTGAATTCTTGCCTGTAATTGCCCAGATGGGGAATATACAACCTTGAGGCTGCAGATGGCCTATGACCCCTATTTTTTCCAGTCCCCCCAAATTAACCACGTTAGCTAAAAATCAGCACAGTTTTCTGCCATGTTAAGACAGGAAACAGGAAAACTGACTTCTGGGGAAGAAATGGCCAACTGAAGATGGCTCCACTAAAAGTGGAGCCAATGAGTGTGGTGGAATGAAGAGCCAGTGAGTAGACCAGCTCTTCGTAATTCCTCTCTGGACAAGGAGAGGACTTGAGATCACCCACAAGTGCTCCAGGCAGTTGCTTCTTGCAAGGACTTTGCAAGATAGTGGTCTCCAGCAGGTATAGAGCTCAGGGAGATGAGGGAATAGAGATGGGAGATGGGAAGAAGAGATCATTTGTTGTATTTTAAGAGAAGGTGATAAGTTGCTAAGATTGTTTACACTTGTAATGAAGGGGGAAGTCATTTCTTTATATATTTTTTCTTTACTACATTCTTTTTTCCTATTTTTCTTTTCTATTCCTTTTCTGCACCTTCTATTTTTTCTTTTTTTAGTTTGTATTAGTTTTTTATTGTAGCTGTAATTTTTAATAAAATAGCTATTTAAATAAATAAATAAGACAAGAAACAGGATTGATCTAGTGATTAAGGCACCAGGCTAGAAACCAGGAGACTGAGTTCTAGTCCTGCCTTAGGCATGAAAGCTGGCTGGGTGACTGGGCAAATCACTCTCAGCCCAACTCACCTCACAGGGTTGTTGTGGGGAAAATAGGAGGAGGAAGGAGTATTAGGCATGTTCACCACCTTGAGTTATTTATAAAATAAATTAGGATAAAGAAAACTGAAATTCAAGCCTTACAATTGTCTGAAAACAGTTAAAATACCTTCCCACCAGAATAAATCAGTTTACATTATTTTTAAGTTTAAAACTCCTTTTTTTCTAAACTGACATAAGACCTTTGATGATAGAATTGCTGGGAGTTTGGTGGCATATAAATTTAATACATTATTATGGTTGGTCACACAGTCAGCCAGATGTTTAGACTGGATTTGGTATTTTTGTCCACCTATCAAGCCCTTCCCAAGGACCTGGGATAGGTTGTTGTTTACTAATATTAAAGGTATCATTGCAGGATGTAAGCTGTTCCAAGTAAAGCTGCCTTTTACAATTGATTGATGGTAATTTTGTCAATGCAAGTGATGTTCAAGTGGTGCTCCACATGTTTTGGACTTGCATCCAGGGTGCCTATTACTATTAGTACTGTCTTTGCTTTCTTTAGTACAGTTGTTCTATTTCAGTGGTTCCCAACCTTTTCTATGTCCCACACCGCTAGGAAATGTTTGATTAATGTTCGCACCCCCTACAAAAGTAGTATCACATTTGAACATGAAGAAGTCTCATTTCTAATGTGAGTGAACAAATTGAACTTAAAAAAATAAGCTTTTAACTCAGTGCATAAAATTGTTGCACCTCCTTGAAATTCCATCTTGGACCTCCTGGGGGTGCAGGCACCCCAGGTTGGGCACCCCTGTTCTATTTGTAGGTCTTTATATTTTGTGATTTTCTCCAGTTCTTTCTCTTCTATTCTGCTGTCTCCAGGTATTGCGATGTCCACTATCCAAACTTTTTTGTCTGTCTTACCAACAATCGTTAAGTCTGGGGTGTTGTGTAGCAGATGTTTGTCTGTTTGAATTCTTCTTATTCTCTTTTATGGAACAGGATTAAGATTCTTTATAAAGTGCTAATTGACTGGTCTACAAATGCTCCTTTCCCAGTATTACTTATGCTGTCAGACTCACGCAGCTAATCTGGAAGAATCGTAGCTTGATTTTCTACAAGTAACCCCAAGTCAACTCTGGAAGATAACTTGGTTCTCTACAGGTAACACATTTATTCACCAGGAAAGTCAGTAGGTATTTGATCTTGTTAACTTTTTGTTGTTTAAAAAACTACAAAAAGTAGAGTTGAGGTAGTTTATAAATCCTTAGATGTATTAAATAAGAGTTGACAGATGGAAAATTCTTATCCCATTGATTTCATTTCACTACTATATTGAGGATTTTTCCTCCTTATTGCTTCATTTCAAGCGATGTGGCTGAATTTTCAAATATTATCTATATTATCAATATAATTTTAGAAACTCTGCTGAAATACATATTTTTCTGAAAGAATTGCAAGTTTACTATAAAATTATAGTATTTTTGATTTAAAAAAATAATGAGCATGACTTATAACCTTATCCAGATGTTTTTAATAGGTCATCATTTGATCTTGTGCTGTGAAGGTTCATATATACTTGTGTAAATGTTTGTGCTTACTGTATGTGGAATGACTGTATGAGAGGGAAAAAGGGAGTAATTCATACTAATGTTATGTGTGTGTATCTATCTGTATCTTTCTCCACCACCCCTACATACACAGATATACTTAAAGTGATCTACAAAATAGGATACTAATGATCTCTAAACCACATGATCTATTTATACAGACTTAGGTAAGGAATAAAAATCATGCATATCCCGTCTTTAATTGATTTTGCCACTGTCAGAAAAGATTCATGGAGCTCTCATAATTGCAGATTACAAATGGCAGGACAAATTCTTATGTTGGAGACTTACATTCTTTTATCCCTACTCATGGATGCTTCGGCACCCACCATATCTGCTCTGGAGGATACCCCTGTGCTTGAGAAGATTTTGAGGGGTTCCAAGGACTGCACTGGAGGGAAATATAACTTGGATACCATTGGATTTCTATAGGAGAGAGATGAATAATGAATCTGAGGCTGTGTTCCCATTTGTACCTGATCATGGCACAAACATACTCTGGTAACTCTTTTTTCCTGCAGTGTCCCCAAAGTTTTGCCTTCATCTCATCCCTAGTCAGTGAGTGAGACCAGCTTATGTTGTCCATAGTCATACCAGTAATAAAATAAAATTGTTCTCCTCTTTCTGACATCACCCAAAGACAGCTTCAAGGGGGTTTAGCTCTTAGATTTTGTCATCCATTGTCCTCTTTGGATAACTAGCTGGGAATAGAGGCAGGATAGAGATCAACAGTGGGGACAAATTTCATATTGCTACAGCTTTTTACTAAAGGAAGGGTAACTTGGTAGTGGGAAAAGATCTTCAGTGTCAGTTCATTCTCTAGCAGACTTTATATTTTAGATAGATTACAAAAGAAAAAAATAACAGCTAAGATTGTTTTAAGAGCTATTTCATCAGTTGAAGAACCTGAGTTTTCATCCAATATTAAATTAATATACCAGCAGAACTTAAAGCATTCTCACCAAACAGCCTGTAATCTATCAAGAGAAAGGAATCATGAAGCATATGAAAAGCACTTTCAACACAATGTCTGCACAGCCAGTCATTGCTGATCTCTTAATGACTATCAAGAACAAGGTAACAGCTAATATCATAGCCTGGCACACTTCAGTGTGATGGCACAGTCACTAACACTGCAGTTCTGCGGTAATTCTGATATAACAATGTTGATTGAGCTTCCTCTTATATTAAAGGTGTGCATTCTGCGAGCATGTATCCTGTTCCATGCAGTCTTCAAAAACCTTTGGTGCAGCCATTTGTTACCAAATTGTGATTTTTAATGTGATAGAAAAGGACCATGAATAAATAATGATTGAAACATACAAAATATATTCAAATTTAGTTTGTTTTAATCCCGCTGTTTGGAATGTGGCTCCTGCCAGCTAAACATTGAATGTGTCTCTTCTCCCCTGTATTTAAACACTCCTGTCTTAAATAACTTAAGCTGATATAAGACGAAAGTCATTACCTCTGATTTACAAATAAGTTGCTTTATTGCTATATGAACATATGTGCAAGAACTGAAGAATATAAAGACTGAATTTAAACAAGTCACTGATCTGGAAACAGCAGCATCAGGCTCTCTGACAAACTGGATGAAAACCAAAATCCTTTGTTCCATCAAGGACTGATAGCTTCACTGTGAGAACTAGGTGAGTGCAGTGCAAAACAAGTGGACCCTGCAACCAAGCAGGGCAAATGCTATGAAGAGCAGCAACAACTGATAGATGAGCATATCCACACCGCATAAAACATTTTTTGTGAAGTCCCTTTAAAGTTATTTGCAATTCCACAACAGCATGGTTCTCAACGAATTGCTCTTTTTATCTTCTCCAGTGTCTTTATCTGCTTATCTTGTACACAAGTATTCATCAGACCAGTCAGAGCAGTGTTGTATTCCATCTCGGCAAAGACTTCTAGGGATGCAAGTACAATAATCATGGAAGACTACCATGGTACAACTCCATGACTTAGATCCACAAGGAGGACAGCTGGCTCCTACAAGTTTAAAAAAAGAAACCACACTTGAACACATTTCATAAGGCTTTTCTTCCCAAAAAGCATACAATGGTTAGTGGGTAATCCAATCTAAGCGTCCCCCAGTCAAAATTCTGAAACGTTGGCTGCTGGTGATGCTCACTTAGACTTGTGAGAACTCTAGTCCTTATACATCTGGAAGGCTCAAGGTTGGAGAAATCACCATACGCCAAAGAGGACTCTGGCCCTTTTTAACATATTTATGTCAATTCATTCTCTTGATCTTATTTACATATATTTAAGAAAAATCCTGCTGGTCAGTAAATAACATAGCAACACTGCACTTTATATTCCATTGTGCTTCCTAGTCAAATGTGATCCAGTTTTGTATTACTCCTTGAATATATTTGGCCTGTACACTACGGGAGGGCATGTACAAAAGAAGAATGCATACACCATAATGGAAAAGGTATTTCAAAAACCTTTAGTGGGAGCTCATAAACTTATAATTATATCCATCCACTTTTTTTCTTGGCAGCGTTATGGAAATAGCTAATCATTTTCTCATCCTTCTGGTCAGAGAGTGAAAGGCCCTGCATAAGAAAGAACATCAGCAAGGCAAGAACAGCCCAGCCAGAACTGCATAACTATGCTGCGTTAAATTCCTTGAAGATTGCTTTAAGGAAATATGGAATATTGCTTGAAGATTGGTTTAAAGGAATATGGAATATTGCTATTAATGATAAATTGACATGTGAACTAAAATATAAAAAGGGTTTGGCGAAAAGGAATGATTTTGATGTTATATGGGGTGAATTTCTGGAATACATTTTTGTTAAAGGAAAGGGAGTAAAACCAGATCAATATATATCCTTTTGGAGAGGAGGGCTTATTAAAAATTAATAAAAATTCATGATAACAAAAAGTAAAGAGATAAGGGTTATAAGTCCCACGGTTAATGGGTGCACGACGAAATTAAGTTATATATGTTTTATTTTGGTTGTTTGAATTATTTTATGTTTTTGTTATTACTTTTTATGTTTTGTAGTTTATGCAGGGCAATTGCTGCAATAAAATATTTTAAAATTTTAAAAAAATCCCTTTGTTCTTGCCTTGGATAACCAGTCTTCTGTTTCCCTTCTGTTTGTGTGTGTGTGTGTATGGGTATGTATGTGTATTTCACCTTCTATGTCTGAGGGCAAGATCTGTCTTTCCTTTTTAACTGATGTAAAAAGCTTTGGGAGACAACAAATGTCTTAAAATATTAATTTATATTTAAAACTTTAATTTTTCAGCAAGTAAAGGACTCACGTGGGCCTATTTCATCAGAACAATCTCCACAGTCGTTAAACCCATCACATCTTCTGTCTGCGTAGATCCAAAACCTGTGATTGCTGCAATAAAATATCAAGTGTCCAGGAAGATTTTTTGGCAAATCACCTACCAAAACAAGCAAACAAATAAATTTAAGCTTGCACTGGGGTTAAAAAACCGATTCCTTAAAATGTGATCTCTCAGGGAGAAAATACTATATTAATAAACAAACCCAGAGCTCTCACATATAAAAACTTCAATATTTAAGGAAATATAAGGAATATCCTGGCTATCTCAATGGAACACTGATTTTGTTTAGAAATGCACAGCTGTTGGGTGCTAAAATATTTAATTCAGACTAAAATTGATTGCCCATCCTTGGTTTAGCAAATGATTTTTTTTTAACTGATTATTTCAATTGTTGCTGTTTTTTGGCTTAAACTTTTTGAATGGCAAGTTTAAATGTTTTTATATACTGATTGTAATTCTAAAGTATATCTGGAAAAATCCAGTTTTGCTTAGTTAACCTATCCTGAATTCTTAATTGTTAACTGGAATTGGAACAATAATTGAAAGGAGTTGAGTACCAAGAAGCCCTGGATCTGGGTTGCGATAGAGTAATTTTTGCCACAACTTATCTAGTTCTCTGTCTACCCATGAGCATGGCCTTCTAGAGAATACAAAAGCAAAGGTTCCTAGTAAAATGAGCTTGCAATCCAAAATAGAATGCATTGATCAAACTTGCAGTTTGTGCTAAACTATGGTTTATTGAATAATCCACAACTATCTGTGTTCACCCAACATATTAAGCCAAAACCAAACAAGTCACACTGGATGGATACCCACAACATGTTCAGCTCTAAAGAGAGCTTACAAATCATAACTGCTACATTGACATAACATGCAATGCTCAAACAACATGTTAAAATAAAGGCTGAATCTCCACAACACCTTAAATCATAAACTACCAATTCCAGTTCACCCTAACCTAGCATGTTGGGCATTCCAAGTCAGTATGCCTTAATGCAATGTATGAATCTAGCCTCTGAAAACAATAGCAAAGCAAGTGGGAGGTAGGGCAGTGATCAACACCTATTGATATATTTCAATTAGAAGCAACTTCTCAGAACAAACCTGCTTCTTGTAATCTTAAAACAAAATATAATTTTTTTCAAAAAGGGACTACCAGGTCTTGCATTGATTTGTAAAGCTAAAGAAATGCAGAATATTTGGATCTTGCCTTTGACCATAGGCTAATTCTAATTCAAAACATAATGTTCTAGGAAACTCAAACGTGATGTAAGCTATCCAAAGTTGATGAAGATTTCCTTCTAACTTCATTTCCTGCTCTTCTTTGCTGTATTTTCCTCAACTATGCTAGGAGATAACTCTTTTAAAGTCCAAATGGGCTCATCTTCATTGTAAAACTTGGTTGAGGGATGAGATAGAGAGAAGTGAGTTGGACAGAGGCTGAGTGCAAAAAAAAGAATTGACAGCAAAGCAATTGTTTGCAGAACAATGCAGTTGTATGTAAAAGATTTGCTGAAATGAGAAGTATGCATAGGTACATCAGGAAGAAACTGAAGAGGACTAAGATCAATTTTATTCTTAGTTCATTTCTGATGGTTATTATAGTGTTTTAGCACATCATCTGTTTCAAAAAGTGCAAGGGCTTATGTTACTATGTGCTCTGCTTTTCTCTAACACTGTGCTTGCCCTGGTGTTATGGGCTCTCCCTTCAGCTTAGGAGATGTTTGTATTATTTGCTAGAGCAAATAATATAATAAAGGGATGGAATATGGGATAAGGGGATCTTATTTAGAAAAAGAATATTAGATTCAACTGAAAGCCACTAATCGTCAGACTCAAAGGTTGTTGGGGAGAAATGACTCAAAATATTATGCAACTTAATATGCAGGCTGTACAAGTGTCCTATAAAGCAATATAGAAATTAATATGCAAATGTTTTGCTGTTTTGGCCCTTGAGATCTAGTAGCCCTATTGTAAGCTACTTGTTTGCTTTAAGACATAGCATAAATAACCAAAAATGCCCTTCTAAATGACACGATACATTAAAACTGCAGCAATGAAAACATTTAGCTTCTGTTTTTTCACTCGATCACATATTCTTTACAAGGAGCCTAAGATATTCTAGAGAAAAAAGCATGTGATATGAAACGGGCAAGAAGAAGGGAACAACATAAGGTTCTTACTACATAATGCCTTTAGTTCATCTTCCCCATTTGCACAATTTTTTCTTGTGTCACAAACTTCGCTGGCTGGAATGCAGGTCTCTCTGTTATCACATAAAAAGCCTGTCTGATTACTGGTAGTCACACATAAACGAATAACTGAAAAATAAAATCCAGAGAAACAAATTGTAGGTACTGACACTAAATAATCAGAACTGACAGCACTATATACCTCTATGATATTGATGCAATTCAAATTAAGGGTTTAGAATATAATCAATCTTCAAACATACCTTAATTCCTTCTATATCCCTTTTCTATTAAAGATGATTTTAACATAATTTCTACAGAACTGTGACAGAACAAGGAGAACTTTTACTAAAGTAACCCACTGAACTTCACGCCAACAAGATGTGAATCCCACAGTCAGAATGAGCTCTTATTCCATTGAACTCAAACTGGCTCTACCAGTAGGTAGAGTGAGGTGATTTTCTCAGGAAGCTAAGTTGAATTTTATTTATTTAGTACATGTATATAACCGCCCATCTCATGTATGTGGTGTACAAAGTTAAAACCACAAAGAACAGTACCGTACAACAAACAATCAAAAATCATAACAACAAAATAACATTAAAAATAGTAAAATCATAAAACTTCATTTGCCAGAGAGTGCAGTCAGTTTCTGTAACAATATAACCACCACAACCCATGTTACTGGATCTCCAGACCAAATGGCAAAGCCATGTTTTCAGGCTCTTCTGTCCAATAATTGGAATTATGTGAGATTTAGAAATCATATATCAAAATATGTCATGTCACATACATATCAAATATTAATTATATCACATATAGTTAATTACATAATGTTATAGCACTGTAATAATGTTAACTATATCTTGGTAAAAAGCAACCTTGAACTTAGAATAGAGCAGTATAAGAATTAAAGGATAATTGGCCTACAGTACTTTAAAAAAAAAAGTTAGATTGCCCATATATATCTCATATGCTTTCTACAAAGCATTGAGCACTCAGTGTTTTGGCGACTGCACGATTAATTATACTAGATCATGTACCTTTTAGTGGCAATCAAATTCAGCTTCAAAAGGTGTGGAACTTAATGCGAATCACAAACTGACAGTCTATCAAAGTGGAGTTATTAACGCTCATTAAGTTAAATGTTGGCCAATTGTAAGCTATATTATGGATGTTACAGCATTTGATTCAAGAAAGCAGCTATATGTCAACTATATAGCCAACATATAGTTAGGAAGTTTTCAGTATCTATCATCTAAGAAGTCTCTTTTATACTCTAAGCATGTATAAGCATAGAGGGGTTATACAGGGTGGCTCTGTACCCTTCACCCAGATCTTCCCAGTTTGAGCAGGGAAATCTGAAGGGAGGTTGCAACTACTTCCAACTGAATAACATCAGAATCTCATTTTGGACTTTCCCACTTGATGCAGGTAAACCTGGGATGGAGGGGGACAAGGATAATATATGAGGCTTCACTGCCCTTCCCTGCTTATGATATTGACAGCCTGTCCTATGTAACATAAATGTGGTGTTCCATGAAATTAGTTTTTTTTTAAGAAATAGATGCATTTTTATTAAGATGGAAATAATTATTTTTAGGTGTATCATTTAGCTTCTCTAGATTTATTGGACCTAGTTTACTCTAAACCCACCATAACAGTGTTGCCATGCTCAGCTGGACAAGGAAAGGTGATCAAGAGATTCATTTATGGGTTGTATGTTTGATTATGACTTACCTAAGTACAGATAGTAACAGCTGGCAAACCTAGCTTTGGCCCAGAAACTAAGCAGGATCAGGTCTGGTTTGTTTTTGAGTGGGACACTACCAAGATATACCAGTCAAAAGAGATCCTAGAAGGTGATGGTGACAAAACATGTCCATCCTATTGCCAAGAAAACTACATGGATATGTTTGAAAAGTCAACTGTGACTCACAAGAGATTTACTTATGCTAGGTCATAAGGTTAGAATAGGCATTTCTTGCATTTAGCTGCAACTATGGCAATGCTGTTTCGAGATCGGAGTATCTGAATCAGTCCAGGACTGCTCTTTATGGAAGATACATACATATAATAGTAGATCAAAAAACATCCAAAAGTAAATGTCACAAGCCATAGATATTTTCCTGATAGCAAAACAGTACAAGGAACACAGAAGGCATGTTAGACACTCTGGAGTGGTTACTGATGGCACATCAGAAACTATGCTTTAAAAATGCCCATTGCTGGTTATATTGATAAACAAATGAGATCTCCTTTCTTCTAACACTTGATATTTCAGACAACACTCTCACCATCTGACATACTGAAAGAGCACAGGCAATTCTTCCAGTGGTAAATATCTATGTCAGACTAAAACTGAAATCTGGAAATAACTGACCTGGGGTAGGAGGAGGAATGCCAAGTGTCACAACCAATGCGATGATAGCAATGATTATACCAAATATAATAAGACTAATGGCAGATACACAGATGCATCGTCGAGTGCAAGGGATCCATGCAAAACACCTTCTACAGCAGTCTGGTTGGTCATGAGTAGTACCTGCCATTGAAAGAGAACTATTGCAGAATCCATACACATATTGGCTTCTGCCAGCTCCCATCAATTAATTTCTTTCCAGAAGATCTACATAGGACCATTGGGAGTGGCATGGGGGGAATACATGGATTCTTAACACCATTACAATTTACTTCATATAGTGAGCAGCACTTGTCTGACCCTGGTAGATCTCAAAAATGTAAGCAACTTCTACCTGATTAGTATTTACACAGGAAACTACTAGGAATAGCAGGGGTGTAGCTTGATGGGAAGTAAAAGAAAGATCTCCTTGAAGATGGCAGTGTGAAAGCACTTCTGTATCATTGCCAAGAAAGCAGCACAGAAGTTACCCATTATCTGATCCTGACTTACAGGAGACTTTACTTTTTCTTTAATATCAAATATTCATCCTTAAAAGTCTTTGCTCTTGTCATAAATCATATGGTCCCATTCATGTTAAAAATAAAGCCTGTATAACTGCATGAATCTTGTAATATTTTCATTTGTCCAAATCTCTAAACATGTTAAAGCAAAATCTAATGCAGTGTTTCTCAGTCTCAGCAAATTTAAGATATATGGACTTCATGCTGGCTGGGAAATTCTGGGAATTGAAGTCCACACATCTTAAAGTTGCCAAGGTGGAGAAACACTGATCTAAGGGGACTTTCTGTTGCCTTAATGCCACAGAACAGCTGGTCTTTTGCAAAGACCATTTTGTCTAGCAGGAACTCCAAAGTGGTCTTCAACAAATTATATGGTAACATTTAAGAAACAAATGCATTTGCTTTCAGACCATTTATCTTAGAAATCTAGGGTTCCTTATTCAGGCAGTATTCTTCAGGTTGTTTGGAAGAGGTTTTTTGAAACCTGTTTATAATGTTCCTTCCCAGATAGACAGGTTGAACACTGAATCTGGATCTTCTGCAGATAAAGTGTGTGTTCCAAGCTATGCTTCTTGTTCATTGAACGCAACAAGAAAATTGAGGAAATAAACAGGATTCCAAGCCCAAGAGAAATATATTTATCACATTTTGGATTCTACCCTCCCTGCCTTTAAGTAGCTTAACAGAGAAAAAATACCATTTCTCAACATTTCCACTGTTATCCTGTACTGATGAATGATACCATATCCTTCCATTGATACAATTTCAGAGGAAAATCATGTCATTTACCTTTATCTTTCCGGTTTCCTTCCCAGGTGCATATGTCTGTATTTTTTTCTATTATAATTACAGTACATATGGGTGTATGTACAACCCTGCAGGCCTTTAAGAAGGTGAGACCTGGTTCTTTGGACCAGGATGAGTAGAGTCCCCGTGCTGAGGCATTATAGTATACTTCTGCCCTTTCTTTTGGTTTATTAGCCTTTAATTATATGTGCTGTTTTTGTATTTGTCGGTTTTGATTTTTTTTTTCTTTTGCATGCCATGTCTGAAATGGGTGGCCATATAAATGCTTTAGATAAAATAAATAAATAAAATTAAAACTGTTATCCTTTTATGACATAATTAAGAATCTATCTTGAAATCATAGTCTTTTACTCAAAGATTTTAAAAGCTAGAACAAACTTGTACAATTTGATATCTTTCAGTTGTTTTGGACTGCCACTCACAGAATCCCCAGCTAGCAGGACTGGAAACATATGCACAGGAAGAAATAAAAGAAGCTGAATAATAATAATTTAAAGAATGTTTTCCCCTGTTTTCCATTTGTACAGTCTTTCTTTCTTTCTTTCTTTCTTTCTTTCTTTCTTTCTTTCTTTCTTTCTTTCTTTCTTTCTTTCTTTCTTTCT